AGGACTTTTCTTCACATGTACCAAGGAAGGATGTTAATTGACGTTCACCTAAATGCAGAAACCCTAGACTGAAGGGGAAAAATTTCATTCCCTTCGGAGGAGGGAGCAGAATCTGCCCTGGTTCCGAGCTAGGCAAACTTGAGGTCTCCATTTCCTCCACTATTTTCTCCTCAATTACAGGTAAGATCTTCATCTTTTTCTTTCGTGCCCATACAACAATCAATACTTTAATTTATGGTGTATTCATATAAAATTTTAGAAATTTGTCCCCCACGATACTCTTAACTTTAATTTATTTTCGTATTTTGCAGGCTCGAAGAAATAAACACAAATGTGCCAACTATTACCCTACCGTTGACACGTCCGTCAGATAACTGTCTGGCAAGAATCATTAAGCTTCCATAACCATCTCAACTGGAATTAGATTGCTACTTCCTATGTTTCACCTTATGTCTACATAAAAACACACATGATTGTATGTAATAAGATGCTCTTTCAATGAGGAGAGAAATTTTAGACAAGAAAGATAGTATGTGCTATATGAGTCCTTTTCTTAATAATTTGTTCTTGATAATTCCTTTGCTCTTTAATAACATCGTTCATTCGTAATGTTAAAAAATTATCCTTAACTTTTTTAAACAACGGTAACTGGACTTTTTAATAAAAACAATGGAAGGAACCAAGTTATAACGCAAAGAAAATTAGTGATAATAGTCACCAAAAACTAAACTCAAAGATACAAAGAAAAACGAAACTTTCATTGAGGATAACATCCAACATAAAAAAATCTAGTGATCTTCATAGAATTCTTTGTCTTCGTCGATCGAAATATTTAACGAAATGATAAAAAAGCGGCGAGCAAACCAAACAATAAAAAAGTAGCGAGCGAACAAAAAAAGTTGTCCTAAACTAATCATTCAATTAAACAACTCATTAAATTTCAGCATTGCATACAAGCATGCCTCACATGTAACTACACTATTTTGGGCCAGCATTCGTGTGTTGGCTCGAGCCATGAAAATCACGAGTCATGTGTTCCGCTGCACTCAACGAGCCTGCTATTCAGCTTAATTGATTAAAGGTTTGGCAAAATTGACCCAGTAAAACGAGCGGGTAAAAAAGTTAGTCCATTAGGCCATTCCGGATTTTATTTTAGGACCTACGGCAGATGTTACAATGCATGACAAACTCGTTACGCCCATCTGACGAGTTTGTTCAAATAATATTTTTTTATTCAAACATGTCACGTTGACCACCCGCTCAAAAACGGAAGGAAAGTTCAAGTGGCTCTTCTTTCCTAATGTAGGATTCGAAACTTATGCCAAGCTCCAATTCGCCTGCAAGCGACTGGAGATGGCAAATTGGGGGTATGTGATAACTGATAAGAACAGCACCTTCACTGCTATTAGGTTCATTTAAGGTTGCTGAATCTTTGTTACATTCTGTATCGGGGCTGCAGTGGAAGCAGCTGCTAAGTTTCCGTTTTATGTTTTTTCTGTACAAAAATTGACCTGCTGGTGGTTAAAATAAGCTTTTCTTAGTGGAAGTGATTGATTGTGTCAAAGTGCTAAAATTTCATAGTGTCTAAGTTATATGTGCATTGTCAATGACTTAGAAAGATTCTGAACATATACCGTAAATATTCTCTAAAATCAGATTCTCTCAGCCCCCAGCTTGCTTCAATGGATGCCCCTTGACCCTTAGGTAACCTTGTGGCCCTTTATCGGATTCTCTAAAATTCACTTTCAACAATATGCTCCCACTCTTGCAAATTGAAAATTAAGTGCCCCCTAAAAGAACTCTGTCACTGAGTTAAGTGGTCAGGAGCATTAAGAAAGCAACAATTTTGGTATTGTTTTCCTACTATGGAAGGTTTCCAAAATTTGAGACATAGTAGCATATAGTACATGAATTAGAATTCACATTTATTAAGAGCTTGCTTTTCAATTAAGTTCTTTGCATCAGAATTGACAAGCTCCATTGCTCATCTCAGTATAAGCTAGCAATCTGAGGGCTGCAAAAGACTTGGACTTCCTCAAGAGTAGCCTTGGACTCGTCCCCAAAGAGGGACTCCTTACCATCCTCTTGGCATACGATAATCCCAATATAGACTTGGCTTGCCTCAAGTCTCCAATGCCTGAATTTGTGTCAGGCCCCCGCCCATAACCGGCGCCAGGGGAGGTCCAATAAGTAACCCGTCAGCCCCGAATTGGGGACCCCCTCAGCATAGTCGAAAAGTGCTGCACCACTACCCCCTACTTTGGGCAGTATGATAGGATCAGTTTCACCATTATCAGGCCAGTAAAAGAGGAATGCATAGAATGTGTCGTAGTAATCATCTGTGCTCCTATATCCTTCAGGTTTAAACGCACCAAACTTGAAGGACTCGTTTGTGTATCCAATTATCACGCACGTCCCTTGAAATCACAGCAGTCGTGAAAATTCGTGGCGCTAAAACCATCAACAGAAGCCATATAGCAGCATTTTAATTCCCTTCCTGCTCATAAACGAACGACCTTAAGAGAATATGAAGCCACATGAAATATCTTAAAGAGAATTGTATAGAATCTAGATAATTTAATGATGCATGTGAATGAGAGATTACCTCTTAAGAAAGTTTTCTTGCCTATGTTCCAACCGAATAAACTGTAAGGCGTTCTTCTCCTCCAGGCCTGCTGGAACACAACAGAGTTTGAGATGCAACTACGCCATCACAGTGTTTCATTCACTCACATCCTCACAAACTCCACAAACAGTAAGTTTCTTACCTAATAGGTTTTTGATTATATATATTGTGTTTGAACCGGTAAGACATCAGGGTCCATAGCTCAGTGGTAGAGCATTTGACTGCAGATCAAGAGGTCACCGGTTCGAACCCGGTTGGGCCCTTCAGTTTTTTTATAATGGATATTGTCACATGGAACAGTGTAAGTTCATTGTCATAACATGTAATTGTCTTTTATTTATTGTTTTGACAAAGAAGAGCTGTTTTTGACGAGTAACTGAATTTCAGTTTGAGAGCATCCGAGCAAAGCTACAACTGTGTATCCAAAATTGGCAAAGAACGGCACCCACTTTCACATATTGCTGCCTTGGTTCTCAACTTGCATATAATGCCTGCACAAAACATGGTTATTAAATTGAAGGTCAAGAGGGAATATCACAAAACATGGTGATTAATATGGAATAAGTATAAGGTAATATATGTGGCTCTTAACCTTTTGTCATTGAATGCTCACTCCTAGTATCTATGATGCTCGAATCCGGATACTGAAAGAATAACAACAATTCTTTTACCACATAGGTCACTTGGTTCGTGTTGATATGAAGCCTTTGATTTTGTTGAAAGATACCTTTTTCAAGAACTTCTCTTGCTTGTTCTCTTACGCCCATTAGCTTCTTCCAGCACCAAATACAATTTTTAGTCACTGAACTCTGTCATACATCTCTACCCCTTAAGAGGCATTTGATCCAAGAAATCCATATACTGCATAAGGATATCGCAGAGTTGATGTATGCTGTATGCCCGATTCCAACTAAGAAGATCTTTCAAACCAAGGCCACCTTCAGCTCTCGGATAACATACGTAATGGATGTTATTGCAGTCTCATCTGTTGCTAATCACCATCATTGGTCCTTTTAAAATATTCAGATGCTTGAATATGGATGGGCTGGAAACCGAAAGTTTCATTTTGATTCACCTTATATGCGGTGGCCTAACAACCTGGTGCAGGTTCCCTTTTTAGGTGTTCTCTCTTTGGATTCTTTGTACCTCCTGTTGCCCTCCAACTCGAATCATAGGGCATTGCATGATGATAAGGTTCGGTATACAGGTGGCCTAACGAGACTGTAGTTCTTCCTACCTACTATGTTGTTCCGAACTAACTTTTTCCATTGATCATGGCTTTATCTTTCATTTGTTGAATATGGAACGACTCGGTGACAGGCCAAATAATCAGAATCAGAGCCAGTCGAGATGGATTTCGGGTTGCATCGTTTCCCTTGGATTGGTCGACAGTGGCTACTTTTTTACAATCTCCATTAGCCACCCCTGCATTTGCTATAATCAACCTAATGTTGGGGTTTGTCTAGGTAGTTTATATACTAACCACTGTAGCTTATTGGAGTAACTCGTATGATGCTACAAGATTTTCAATCATTTTGTCCCATGTCGAGTTCACCGATGGTGGCAGAAAATACGATGTTTCAAGAGTTATGAATTTCACAACCTACGAATTCGACCAGCAAGAATATGATGGCTACAACAAAATCCACTTGAGCGTCTTCTTTCCAACCAATGAATTTCACCCCTAAATAAAATACTTTCTCCCCTAAACATATTGAACATGCAGATTATAGAAACGTAGACTTTGTCATATACTAAATTTTGACACATTCATATATAACATTTTGTGTTATTTTCTCATATCATGATCTCATGTATCTGATTGAAATGATCGAGTCTAGTTTCATCTTTTCGTGTACAGTAATTTGCTGGCATTATTAGAGTATAAATTTGTAAACAATACTGCCAAATTGACATGAAAAATGGAACAATCGGATCATTCTCCCAATAAACCGAGAATATCAGAGACCTTGGAGGTGTAATAATCTGGTCGAATCTTGTTTGACGGGTCATCAAGAATGGACTTGGTTGTTACTCCTGAAATTTTAGGCATTGCAAACATAAAGAAATATAAGCAACCTCGGTGGTGTTTTAGTTTGTCAGTCTAAGGACAAGAGACTGCAACAAACCTGAAAGGACTAGCAGAGTTTTGCAGCCAGCATTTTGTCCAAATAGTATATCAGTATCTAGTCTATCACCCACCATACACATTCTAGATGTACTAAGATTAAATCTGCAAAGCACAATACAGCATAGAAAATGATTATCAGAATAGGTACAGCAAGGTCAGTGTTCATCATTATTATACACCAAAGAATCATTCTATGAGTCTATCATTGATGTGTAAATGAGACGTTCATGCTCAAATATTTGGGTTCAGTTCCAAAAAAAACAAACAAACATAAATTCGGCTGTCCTTGTTGAGTTAAGCTCGAGAAACTTAAGCTACCAGACGAGTTGAATTCAAGTTTTCTAGTGCTTGACTCGAGTAGCAAGCCTTATCAAGCATCTTGTTTCTTTTTAATATAGCATATTTGATTTCAACTAGTACTGAAAAACCTCAATTCAAACTCAAAACTCAAACTTGAGCATAAATAATTGAGTTTGTGAGTCAATTTTAATTTTGAGTCTAGATCAAGCATTTAAAGTCAAACTTTGGTCAAGTTTGACTTGAGTTTCAAGACTCAAATTTGAGGTTGAGCTTGAGCTTCTCACAAATTGCTCTCAGTTAGGCTAGTTAAGAAACACTTCACATAGCACAGTTTTCTACCACATTTGTTCCAATACAAGGAAAATGTCATTTTAATTTAATGAGGTGGACACAATCATCTCAAGCAAAATGAACGCAATTAGTTATGTGAAGTGAAGTGTTTCTCA